AGAGAGAGAGAGAGAGAGAGAGAGAGAGAGAGAGAGAGAGAGAGAGAGAGAGAGAGAGCAGCGAGCTATTTGAACAGTGGTTACCGGTCTCCAGTTACACATACCATGAAGTGCGCAGAGCTATACGTACACGTCTGATGCGACCTGGGTTTGGAGACACTATTCGTACTGATTTTACATCATGCAATGTTATATTTCTTTGATTTTTATTATTTAATTATGATTCGAGGATATATTGGTTAAATTAAAGCATGAATGCGTAATTAAAAGCTTTGAGTAAAACCAGCAATTTATATCAATTGTAAATGGAACTTGAGTTAGAGAATCTCTTCTAAAAAATAGAGGTTGTAAAACGCATATAAGGCCTTATGACAAAAACAATTTATCTATCAGCCTTTTATAAACAAATGTCGTTACAAATTTCATATATAAATGGTATATTTGATCCAGTTAATATTCCTCTAACTCACTGGTAAGTCATGTTTCTGAACTTGTGCTCTCACACGTCCCCCGTGATTTTTCGCGTACGTCTGCCGGCCACTGTCGGAACAGGGCCTTTGCAAAGTAATTTACTTAAGATGTTCCTGACAATTATATTTATATATAATATATATATATATATATAATGTTCCTGATTATAAACTCGTGTATTTATAGTCATTAGTACATATATTACAATTACGTGTATTGAAGTCCACACGCGTGTGTATTATCACATGCTTTCGCGATCGAAATACTTTTTAATAAATATACTCTAACTAACATTTTCGAAGTACTTTTTATATGATGGCGAATATTTAAAAGATTCACACAATAATATGTAATAATGTAAGACAGCTCTACATATTTCAGTAAAGAGTAAAGTGGTAGGATACAGTGCAGTGAATCACTGGTTGCGGTGGTGGGAATCCCCGCATGTGGAGTAGAATAAACTAGAGCCGTAGAGCTGAGAGGGTCTATGTCCCCGGGGTATCTGCCGGAACGTCCCTGGGTACGGTCCCGGTATACCGAAACGTACCCTGGTACTATCTAATATGCCGGACCGTACCTCGCTACTCCACTAACGATCTAGGGAGTCGCGCTACGCCTACTCCCTAACGCCGAAGCACCTAACCTAATGCCTAAGCGCTAACAATCCTAACCATATCACAATAGTGACTAGGGTATCGTTCTTGGTATACCGGACGTCCCCAGGGTACGTTCCGACAGTACCTGGGGGAACATAGACGCCTATGAGCAGCAAGGCGAGTACAGTGGCGAGAGGAGTACGACAGTACGAGTACAATGCAGGTAGAGCAGTAAAGCCGTAGAGGAGAGTACAGAGTACTTAGAAGCAGTCAAGCCATGAAGAACGCTCTGAAAGTAGAGTCAGTCCAGTAGGAGGCAGTATACGTAGAAGTAGAGATACAGTGCCGTATGCAAGTAGAGCAGTAATAGTAGAGTAGAGTACAGTGCGGAGTAGAGGCAGAGTAGAATGCAGGAGAGTTGTTAGAAGTTATTGTTGTTGGTTGGCGTGACCTTGACGTGGCTTCGACCAACGTGTCTTACCATTTCTAAAATTTTCAGTGGCCTGACTTCAAGGGCAATGGCGCTATGGCTCAAGCCAAATTATCATTCTTCGCAATTTTAAAATTTTTCCGTGCCTTGAGCTCAAGGCACGATGGCCTTGGGCCAAGGTCATTACATTTTTAATCAATTTCTAACATAACTAAGGCAAGGCCATATCCTTGACGCCATTTTCAAAATGTTTACGTCACTCGACTTACAGTCATATGGTCCGATGGTCAATGGTCGTGTTGTTTATATTTCGCCTAACAACATCTTACCGTAGTACTTGACAAGATTTGAACACAGAACTATTGAGTACCAGCCCAGCTAAGCACCCAAACACACAATTCCTTAAATGTTCAGAACGAATCTATGTGTTACATTTTATTCAACAAGTTTGAAAATATTTTACGAAGTTACCTCACAAGAATCGAACTCGGGACAACCCGGTCCTATTCCAACATGTTACGCACACACCTAAACCTACAATTTCTGAGTGGTTCAGATCTGATGTGTGTGTTGCGTTTTCGTTTAACACATCTTAGAATGAATCAAGGTGCTAGCATTTAACAAAGCTTTGTTAGTTTGTGGCATCTGTGTACTCGGAATTCAATCAAAATCAAAACAAATAATCAAAACTTGAATAGTGCACATTTTGGTAAATATAGCGAAATACAAAGGTTCCAAGACATGTTAACGTTACTCTAGACAGTTGCTGTTGTTGTTGTTGTTGTTGTTCGTAAACACGCGACTGGTTGGAAATCATGTTCGAAAGCCTGGCATTTAGGGCTTGCATTTTCTTGCAACAATATCACTACTAGGTTAGGTGTAGCAATGGTTATAAAGCAACAATAAGGTGGAAACTCATATACAATATAAACAAAGATTATTTTGGTTACTTTTTAATTTTTTTTTTATTTAAAGGAGATATACAGGTCGTTTTGAACTGCTTCAGTCATCGTTGTCCACGTTCACAGTCTGCAGTCCTGCAAGAGAAAACATCACAAACCTTAAAATTAAGGCACCGAAAAATGCACCCAATTTCCCCAATAACGTTGTACATAGTTAGGTTTATCAAAACCATGCCTTTAAATGAAGTGCTCAGCTGATTGCGTTTCCAACAAAGATAGGTTTCCAGGGCTATCTCTAGACGTTTAAAAGTTGACGTTCAAGACTTGAACCACCATTATTTTTTAGCCACTGTTCACTACGTAATTACCATTCAAGTGTATTCTAAGCAAGGCATGAACAGGTGAAGGGTATGAGAACAAAGGTATGAAAACATTTTACGACACGCCACTGTGATTTGACGCTTTATATTATTCAATCGTAATTTTGTCAGCTGTTAAATCATTCTCCATTTGTGTTCGCCACTCAATGTATTTAAATTGCCACTGTTACTTATTTATCGCATTTTGCGGAGGTAGCTAATGTCAGCGGTAGCCCTGGGTTTTACATAATAAAAAGATTAAATAAATTAAGAAAACATCCCTTGTTAAAGGAATACTTGACTCTAGGTTCTAGGGTTATTTTCAGTTGATTTAGATTAAAATTACACTACATAAAAAATATTCCATGGTTCAATCACCATTAGAAATTTTTTTTTTTAATGTTTTAAAACTAACGACTACAGATTGATTACAACGACAGTGGCACCACTCAAAACGCACTATCTGAAAAGTTGTGCTAATGGACTTTTCAGCCAAGGGTGTTTCTTATTTATTAATTTAAAAGGAGAAGGATTGCAATATCTTATAAACAACATATGGTTTCAGTTATAATATGGATAAATTTGTCCTAAAATGAACATCGTTCGGTTAAATAGCATTTAGGTATAAATATAATTGCATTTTTGTGATTAGCCCCGGTCTATAACGTGCAAAATAAATTGGCAAACGCACAACTTTTTCAGGGTGGCAGCACGGTCGCGGGTGTCATGTCAGCACTCAAAAATGAACATTTCGAAATTCAATGTTGTTTTATGACAAACGTGAATGCGTAATTATAGATATTTATAGGTATGTGCTATTCTATATAAATCTACTATCATAATATACTCTTAAATTCTAGAGTAAAGTATTCCTTTAAGTAAAGGGAGAAATTTTACTCAGTAAATAGATTAGTTGACGCCTCAATGACTGGTAGTTTTTCTCAACGACGTTGTAACGAAATAACGCTGAATGAAGCCACGTTAATTATAATATTGGTGTAGGAACTCGAATACCTTATAAGAAATTTTTCTTACCAAACATTAATCTGAACAACTAGAACCAACATGGACTTTTAGTCAATACATTTAACAAACTAAAGGTCTTATTCAACTTGGCTTCATATCTTTGGATGGATGAAGACAAACAAGAGAACAGTTGAGGGTGTAGGCCAGTGCTTCTTAATCTATTTCAGTGTCATTCACCCTCAAGTCTTTATAACAAAATTTCATTCACCCGCGACTTAATTTCCTTGTTTTTGGTAAACTTCACTCGCCCCAAAATAATTTCATTCACCCGTGGGTGTACCATTCACCAGTTTAAGAAGCACTGGCGTAGGCAATACAGGTAAAGGCAAACGAAGGAATGCCAGAGGCCCATCGCTAACGGGATGAGCGGGAGTGATGCTTACCTTTGAAGGCTGTTGTTGCCACATAAGTGACCAGCGTAAAGAGCTTGTGGATGGAGTCTTCATCCTCGTTCCTCTTTCTTGCCAGTCGCACGCGTACCCTGTAGGGAACGTTCCTGCAGGAAAACCAAACACAGCCATGACTCTTGCCACCTAGCGGGCGTACGCAACACCAAGTCAAATGTATACGTGTAACACAGCTGCTTTGTTGCAAGCAAACTCTACACAAGACCAACACATTACATACGTAGCATTTTAGGTTATCTATCAATTATTATATACTTTTTTAACATTATTAATCTTTGGCATGACCTAACATTCAAGCCATAGGTATATTTAGACTATGGTCAGGCCATAGGTATATTTAGACTATGGTCTATCCATAGAACTATTCATTTGTAAAGCTTGATACCTAAATACAAGCAATAATTACCTGACCCCCTTCGACCAGATGAACTTGTTAAGCCGGGTGTCAACTCGCACATCTGGTGTTCCCATCTGCTTCTCAGCAAACTTCTTGATTTCTGTGATCGCTCGTGGCGCCCTCTTCTTGAAGCCTCTGCAACCATACGCCCAAACTTGAGACCCACGTTACTATAGGTTTTAATGATGAACTAGGCATGTTTTCAGTAAAAGAATATAGGTTTATGCAGATTTGGCCTTTACACTAGTAGGTAATCCACAGGACCACCAGGACTATAGACAGGGTTATTAGGTTAAGGTTCGTGCTAGGGGTGCTGTCTTAAAGTGGACTCGATACATCCACTCGATAATATAATACTACAGCGCTTAAAGGAACAAGTGCCGCAGAGCGACAGCGCTCATCTAACGTCTACTGCGGTGACTCTGTGGTGGAGTGGTGGGATTCTAGAAAACCCTGTTAGTCCCAAATGTGTTCACATACACGCCGAAACAGTGGAATGCACAGGGAACCTTCTCAAAAGAGTGTTCGTTGGGATCGTTATGAAAGTTGCCACGAGGTGGCGCGTACGTTTAAGTGTCTTCAGATTAAAGATGGAAGCTCCCATCGTACGTAGTAGCAACAACTATTTGCAAGACAGAATAGGTAAGCACTCATCCATTTACCTACGCAAGCCTACAGGCTGCAATAGAGAGCTGCCACCTGTAACCAATTAACGCAGGCAAAAACTCCACAGTACCACCAACACATGCACTGGCAGTAGCCACTGGCAGTGGCATACGTTACAGGTCCATTGATTATGCAATGTTGACGAATGCTAGAGTAACTGGCACCTTGTGTAGTTAATAAGTACATTACCTTATAGCCAAACGCGTATTAGTTTGTCCAATATCACTGCTGGTTACTAAGAAATGCCTAATTGAAATTTGCAGTCCAAAAATCAGTTGTTTATAGTTTCAAACTGCTGCCGGCGAAGCGGGTGTGATACAGATTTATAGTGCACCGGACATTTTCGCACGCATGCTCGGCTGTACGCAATGCCAATGCTATCATCAGTGATTTCGTAAACATGGACGCTCGTGATAAGGAACTTTTTGTCAGGGCTGTCCACGTGCGTCCGTGATTAGTACGTGTTTTATACTCTATTTCTATGTTTAGTCCGTGGCTGTGGTTACACCGCTGACACCTCCGTTTCATCTGGCGTCCAAAACATATGGGCTGCACAAATGTTTACGTCATCGCTTGACTCCTGGATGACATTTACGGCACGTAAATGATACATTGATACTAGCTCTAGAACTATAGCCCTCCGCTCCGCCGCAGGGGTATAGAACATACTATGGCAATTTCCAGGTAGTAAGCAAAAACTACTTTTTGTGCTTAATAACTTCTTCGGTACGCCAAATAAAGCACATTCTCCGTCGCACAAATGTCGAACGATTAAATGTTGTACTTGCTATGTTACTCGTCGACGAAGATTGTAACTTTTAACCGCCATTTTTTGCTAGTGAGCGGGCACAATGTATTTCCAAGTGGAGGGGTGGGCAGGTTGCACGCGGTTGCAAACCGCGCTAGCGCTGCGCAACGAAAAATGGCAGTTAAATCCGCGTGCAACCTTCCCACCCCTCCACTTGGAAATACATTGTGCCCGCTCACTAGCGCTGGAACCGCGCTAGCGATGCGCAACGAAAAATGGCGGTTACAAGTTGGTAAATAATCTTCGTCGACGAGTAATATAGCATAGCAAGTACAACATTTAACCGTTACTCGTTAGTTTGCAGTTTAATTTTAGTGTTTGCAGTAACTTAAGACATTTGTGCGACAGAGAATGTGCTTTATTTGGCGTACCGAAGAAGTTATTAAGCGCAAAAAGTTGTCTTTGCTTACTACCTGGAAATTGCCATAGTATGATCTATAGCCCTGCGGCGGAGCGGAGGGCTATAGTTCTAGAGCTACGTTGATACATATCAACAACCGATTTCAAGTCTTGTTTGTAATGTAACCAGCAGTGATATTGGACAAACTAATACGCATTTGGCTATAAGGTAATGTACTTATTAACTACACAAGGTGCTCTAACATTCGTCAACATTGCATAATCAATGGACTTATTATTCCTTTAAGTTTAACACTACGGTAGAGGAGCTAGCGTTCGCGATTTACTTACACCGAATGCAACCGTTTATGAAGATGGATGGTGTACTCCCGGGTAATAACCTCGGTGATGGCGGACTTGCCCTTCTTTTCTCCCTTCTTTTTTGCCATCTGCATAGCAAAACCACGGTTATAACGCAACGACAAACGTTTTATTATGATTCCATTGGGGTAACTTATGATACCACAGCACAAACAATCCTGATCAACTCAGACTTAATAATAACATATAACTTTGCATTTTTATGCATTTCTGCCAATATATATATACCTTCAGTGTAGTTAATCTAAGTGGGCAGATGTTAGTTAATAACGGTATAATTCAAGGATTGTTCATTTGACTCGTAAATAACTTACTTCACAGTAATGGTGGTTACACGCAAAGAGGATAAGGAAATGTACATGTGGCGCCACCTATAAGAGCGGAATCGAAATAATGGAATAACAACAGACAAGTCACCACTGATTCCCATAATTATTATGTACCTTATGGTTATATGTTATACGTTATGTCATATAATTATTAATTAGTATATAGAGTTTAGCGCAAGCCACAAGTACTAGGTCACAGTTGATATGAGAAAATATCGGAAACTCCACAGATGATCTCATGTAGAGAAATGAGAGAGAATGAGATTATGAGATAGATGAGCATGTATGTATACGTGCACACACGCGCGCGCGCGCGTGTGTATGTGTGTGTGCGGTGTTGTGTGGCGGTGCGGCGTGCTCGCGCGCGTGTGTGTGTCTGTATCACTGTGTGTGTGTGTGGGTGTGTGTGTGTTGTGTGTGTGTGTGTGTTGGTGTGTGTGTGTGGGGTGTGGTGTGTGTGTGTCAAGAACGGTCGAAGAAAATTCGTTTGGCAGTCAACGGCGACCGACGCGGCGGTACATTAGAATAGCGGTGAACCCAGGCGTGATGCTGCGAGCAAATGAGAATGTTATAGATTGGATTTTACACAGCGCACGTGCTGTCGGCCTGCCTGGCTCGCACTTGAACGTATGTGCATGAACGGTCGAAGAAAATTCTCTTGCAGTCAACGGCGACGACGTCGGCGCGCATTTTTCAGGTACATTATCTATGCGTAGTGAGAACCATAGGGCGTGATGCTGTGAGCAAAGTGAATATGTTAGATCGGTTTTACAAGCCACATGCTGTCGCCCGCCCGCGTCACGTTAACGTATCGAGAACGGCCGAAGAAACATTCTCGTTGGCCAGTCAACGGCGACCGACGTCGGAGCGCATTTTTTCGATGCGCGGCATTAATATTAGCGTGGGAACCGTAGGGGCGTGGATGCTGTGATGCCAAAGTGAATGTTATAAGATGGATTTTACAACAGCGCACGTGTGTCGGCAAGCTGCCGCGTCCACTTTGAACGTATACCGAACGGCGAGAAAATTCTCTTGGAGCAGTCAACGCGCGTACGACGTCGAGCGCGCATTTTTCATATGTACATTAAATATAAGGCGTAGCTGGGGACACTAGCGGCGTGATGCTGCGTGAGAAAGTGATATTTTAGATCGGGTTTTTACCAAAGCAACACATGCTGTCGGCGCCGCGCGCGTTTCACTTTGAACGGTATAAGAACGGCCAGGAAGGAAAATTCTCTGTGCAGCTCAACGCGCAGCCGACGTCACGCGGCGCATTTTTTATGCCTACAGATTAAAATGAGCGGGAACCTACGGGGCGTGATGCTGCTGCGAGCAAGTGAACGCTTATAGCATCGGATATTACCCAGCGCACGTTGTTCGGTCGGCGCTGCCTGGCCCGACTTTGAACCTATATGAACGCGCGAAGAATATTGCTCTTGGACCAGACAACGGTGACCATGCTACGAGCACCATCTTTCCTGTAGCTTGGGTGCGGGTGCGTGCGTGTTTGTTTTCGTTTGTGTGCGTGTGTATTTGTGACAGCTAGGGTTGTAGCCGAGAAATGGCTTAAATGATGTGAACGTGCCACTTTATACAATAAGAAGGAAGCTCTGTCATGTAGGGTCCCGGTGGAAGATACTGTCTGGTCGGCATGTCATGGCGTAGGGCGGTTATGCCTTTTCATATTATTATGTTTATTGATATACTTATCTATTTTCCATGATTCTGTGCGTGCGGCGACTCGGCACACTAGTTATCAAATACGTGTGCCTACATATGTTTTCGGCTTATTATTGTTCAATTATTAGCCAACAGTTTCCCAACACAGCGAGTTGGTTGCGTTATCACGTTGTGTCTACTCCAAGGAGCTATCTATATAACGAAATCTCTATTATCTACTCCTGTATATATGTATATATCTAGCTCCTTAGTCTACTCTACATGCGGCGCCAAATTCATTGCGCGAGTTCTAAACATGACAACATTCAACTCACGACCACGACAAACAAAACCACATACAAGTTGTTTTTCTGAAAATTTAACACAAGATTTATTACGTAATTCGCTTCCAGAAGCACCAGATCATTACAAAAATAATCTTTTAATAAAAGTCTTTACCTTGCTTGCAGATGGAAGTCTTGGTGAGAGCACGGGGCACTGATGACCAGATACTAGAAAACTCACAAAATTACCGTTGAATTATGGATCGCAAAGAAGAGAAGACGCTTTACAATTATGCGAATTCGGGGGGGGGGGAAGATGCAAGGGGAATAATTGTAGATATGGTAGCGGGGCGCACGCAATGGAAAACGCGCACGCCGAAATACTACGGTCATGACGAGCTGTGAAGCTGAGAGGGACGAAAGTGATATTTTAATAAGAGGTTGAGGTGGCATTTCAATCGCCACACCTTCTCGGCATTCGTTATCACGCTGAATCCAACCACGCAATCTGGCGGCAGTCGCCATGGAAACAGCAAAGCTGGTGCAGGCGCCCGCGCTTCCTACTCTCACCAAGATCATCTGTGCACAGTGAACAAAGCTCCGCACCAGCAAACAGATGCGCCGTGACGTCACACACAATAATATACAGAGCTGACAATATAGTTCAGCAGACCTCGCGCAGCATGAAGCAAAAAAAATACCACCGAAGCTGCGAGGCAAAGCTTTATGCTTACATTACTAGTTCCTTATACACAGACGGGTACAGATATGGCAAGGATCGCAACATCTTTTCATCTCCATCCTCATCCTTAGACCAGATATACATGTATATATATATAACACTCCATTAATTTTGCATAGCGTGCACTCGCGATGTTGTCCTCTATACGTTTACAACATCCGGCGTTTGTCTCCACCATTGTCCGTCGACGATTGATTCCTACTGGTCAACATACAAGAGAGACTGAGCGGATGTGATGCCGAGACCACCCACCAGGGAGCGACGATATGGAGACAGCCAACGAGCAGGCGAAACCTCCGTCCCGCGACCATTCGTGTTTTGCTGGCAGACTCAGCGTAGTTGCTATGGTAACAACGACCGTAACCCGTGTATACGACATAAAAAGTGCTATAGCCGATTACACGAACATAGAGATCGTACGACCGCCATTCCATACACTAACTCAATAATATGTCACAGGCACTGGTAACGTAATGACTTGTTTATCACATACTTGCACTATGTGCCATCTGATTGAGTATCGACGACGTACAGCGACTGATGTTATATTCGGGTTTCGTATCTGTTGTATCATCTCACTGAGCACTGCACGTGATAACATCGCAACGTTACGGTTATCATGCGTAAGAATATACAGCGTGATATGTAATGCTGACAAAAAAAGGCTATGATCATGACTCGTGAGTTGTGAGCAAATCAAACGATATACGGCATGATATACAATGCCATTACTATAGTATTGCAATGCAATGATTATCATGGGTTAGCAAATCAAACGATATACGCCATGAAATGCAATGCTCCGGAAACATGTTGCTTCTGATAGTCGTTCCATCAACAGATGTGTAATCAGCTAATATACAAAATACGACGCCCAGTACATATAAATCGCTCCGGGGTACATAAACCTATGACTGGCAGATGGCAGCAGCAGCAGTATTCTGGTCAGGCATTACGAGGAAGACTAGCGTGTGATGATATGAAACTCGTCCTTGAAATTACAAGGCTGTAAGACATTCCTACACACGCCTACTGAGCTGTAACCCGCATACATACCTCTAACAAGCTGTGACCCCCCCGCACATATCCCTACTAAATTATCACCGAAACAGACACACCCAATTCTCACCTGTCACCCAGAGTCACACCCCTACCGAGCTGTCAACCTCATACATACCCCTACCGAGCTGTCAACCTCATACATACCCCTACCGTCAGGGAACGGGGGGGGGGGCTGTCCAACCTAACAATCAACCCACCGGAGCTGTCAACCTCATACATACCCCTACCGAGCTGTCACCTCACTACCCCTTACCCGGAGCTGAACCTCAATACATACCCCTACCGAGCTGGTCCAACCTCATACAGCCTACGGCTGTCAAACCTCCTCCATACCCACCTACCGAGCGTCAACCTCAAACATAACCCCCTACCCGAGCTGTCAACCCATACAACCCCTACCGATCTTGTCAACCTCATCGCATGCCCCTATCTGAACTGTGACACGACCACGATCTTATACTACCATGTGCGACATAGACCTGCCACCACGACCTCGCCTACCTACTTAAGGACATGGCCAGTATGTGAGCCCAGCGATTGTACGGAAGTCGCACTGCGCAGACGATCCTCAACTCACACCCTACCCAGAAAGCAAAACGACGACCGATAAGCATGCATAATTTGATTCCTTGGGTACCTATGGCTGTAAAGCCTTTCACGTGTGTAGACAAACTGTGATGCTAGCGTAGATCGACACAGCAATGCAATGCCTACTGGATACCTTTCTTACATTGTCGAAGCCAAGAAGCCAATAATATTGCTTTTTGAATGAGACGCGTCGCCAAGCGTGGCGAGGTGCAGCGAATCCAAGCGAACGCGATCTGTACCGCGATTAACTCTCAAAATAACGATACAATTTTGAAATTGTTACACTATTTATTCACAAGGAAGACCACCATTTCTTATAAACGCAATAGCGAACTTGCACGGTAGGAACATTTTGCACTCAATAATTAAAACCACTCAACAAAAATCTCGATTATACAAATAATTATTTCATCGATAAGGAAATCGCCGTTGGCATGATTTGCCATAGATCAGATAGGCACGACTAGGTTTGATGTGGCCTGTAGTTGCGTGAGTGTTAAGGTTTATGATACAGTCCCTTGCATGGACTACACTGGTATGTGGCAATGTGTTCGTCAGCGGAACAGAGGTGCTCTTCGCACCACGCGACGCTCACCTCACCCCTTCTCCCGTTCCTAGTAAAGTTCTCACTCAAATTTTCACCGTGGCAAAGCCACCGAAATTTTCTCTACAACGGGAAAAAAAAAGCGTTGAAAGACCGGCCCGGGAAGGCGAGCGCTAGAGCGACCCGGAGCCAGAGTTCCGCAGCGCGCGGTCGGAGGAGGGGTCGTGCGGCGACAGATAGAGGCTTGTGCCTGCTGACATCAAAGGAACGAGAGAAGGTCGCCCGTGTTGCTCGTCTGCACGAGCTGCATGCGAGCATACGCGACGATGAAGCACAGGTCAGGTCGGGAGTCACCACCACATATGCCTGATCTGCTCACTCCTCCCTCCTGCGTTCCTCCTATCGCTCCTCATCGGCTCCTTCCCACAGTCTCGCTTTAATCCCAATCCTTCTGAATCGAACGCCACGCTCCACTGAAGAATGTTCTCGTCTGTCATCGTCGATGGAGGTTGACTGACTGTAGCTAGCCGGCGCGCAATCATACCGCAAGGGCGCGCTCACTCAGCGTCGTGGGATAGATTGGCTCTCCTTCTTTGGCCCGTAAACTGCCCGATCCTCCAGCGCCTTGTCAACTGCACCGAAGAGGACATGCATTATCAACAAATAAACGTAACAGATAAGTAGCTCAGTAGATGAATAACGGCACAAGTAAAGCAATGCCATGTAAACGAAGTCACTCAGAGGAATACCAAGGGCAAGTGATAACGA